TTTTTAAATTCTATATTGTTTATTTCTGCTCTGATCTTTATTATTTCTCTTCTGCTGCTGGGTTTGGGGTGTCTTTGCTGTTCTGCTTCTATTTCCTTTAGGTGTGCTGTTGATCCTAAGGGGGATTCTGTGAGTGAAATGTTGCAAGGACCTCAAAGTACCAGAGACATCACTACAAGCATGAAACCTACAGATATCACAATGACTCTAAGCCCATATCTTTCAATAATAACACTGAATGTCAATGGACTAAATGCTCCAACCAAAAGACATAGGGTATCAGAATGGATACAAAAACAAGACCCATCTATTTTCTGTCTACAAGAGACTCATTTTAGACCCAAGGACACCTTCAGATTGAGAGTGAGGGGATGGAGAACAACTATCTGTCATGCTACTGGAAGTCAAAAGAAAGCTGGAGTAGCCATACTTATATCAGACAAACTAGTTTTTAAATTAAAGGCTGTAACAAGAGATGAAGAAGGGCATTATATAATAATTACAGGGTCTATCCATCAGGAAGATTATAAATTAGAATTATAACAATTATAAATATCTATGCACCAAATATGGGAGCCCCCAAATATATAAAACAATCACAAACATAAGCAACCTTACTGATAAGAATGTGGTAATTGCAGGGTACTTTAATACCCCACTTACAGCAATGGATAGATCATCTAGACATAGGATCAATAAAGAAATAAGGGCCCTGAATGATACATTGGATCAGATGGATTTGACAATTATATTTAAAACTCTGCATCCCAAAGCAACAGAATATACTTTCTTCTCGAGTGCCCATAGAACATTCTCCAAGATAGGTCACATACTGGGTCACAAAACAGCCCTTCATAAGTATACAAGAATTGAGATCATACCATGCACACTTTCAGACCACAATGCTATGAAACTTGAAATCAACCACAGGAAAAAGTCTGGAAAACCTCCAAAAGCATGGAGGTTAAAGAACACCCTACTAAAGAATGAATGGGTCAACCAGGCAGTTAGAGAAGAAATTAAAAAACAAATGGAAACAAATGAAAATGAGAAGACAACAATCCATATGCTTTGGAATGCAGTGAAGGCAGTCCCGAGAGGAAAATACATTGCAATCCAGGCCGATCTCAAGAAACAAGAAAAATCCTGCCTGCTTTTAGATTACTCACATGTCTGTAGGCAGGAGACTTCAGACTCTTGCTAGCTGTTGGTTGGACGCCTCACTCAGTTGTTTGTCATGTTAGACTTTGCATCAGGCTGGTCAGATGTCTTCATGACATGGCAACTGGCCTCCTCTAGAGGGAATAATCTCAGAGAGAGAGAGAGAGAGAGAAAGATTGAAACCAGAGTGCCTTTATGACCTCTCTCAAAAGTACCACACTGTCACTTCTGCTTGATTTATTAGTCAGAAGTAATTCACCAAGTTCAGCCCACACTCAAGGAGAGGGGATTGAGGCTCTACCTCTTAAAGGCAGGAATAGGAAAGAATTTTTGGACATATTTTAAAATCACTGCATTCTACCCTCTGGCCACAGATTGTTTACTTTTCTTCCCATTTCTTCCCCTGCACCCCCAGGCCTCCCCAAAGTCTCATCCCTTTATGGCATAGCTGGAAATTAAAGATTTTGGCATCTAAATCTGATTCAGATGAGACTTCTTATATGCAGAGTTCCTTAGGTGTAGCTCCTTGAGTATAGTTCCATTTGATCTAAAGACCTATGAACTAAAGTGACAAGTTATCTGCTCCCAAGCACACAACTTTTAGTGGTGGGACAGGCAGAGGATAACCTGTTAAACAACAACTAAAATTGTTTAACAATTTTTGTTAAAACAACAACTAAAAACAAAATAAAACAGGAAGTAAGCATAGGATAACAGCCATATTTTTCTGTTTGAAAATGGGGAAACTAGGAGCCACTGGTTCACAGTATTCTGAAACCCACCCAAACACAGGTTAATGGTACCTTGATGAAGACTTGAAGCCCAGGAATGTTTCTTCATGGCCATTAGCACTGCTCTGAGTCATCCTCACTCATGAAAGGGAGCCCATATTTATATCTGCATGGTTCCTCAGCCTGCTCCCTGCCGATGGAAGCTTGGGGATGCAAAAAACTCTTCATTTTGTAGTGATCTATCTCCTTCAGTCCATGTCTCTTGACCTAATTGTACTGATCTGTCTCCTTCAGTCCATGTCTCTTGACCTAATTATCCTCAAAATTTTGTGAGTCTCCTGTGAATCTTATTGGGCTAACTTAATTAGACAAACCATACCCACAAGTCTCTTTATGATAAGCCCTGCTCTAACTTGGGCTTCTGCTGGGACTCCTGAGGGACAATACTCTTAAAGCTTCTCAGAGACCTGTTGTTTAAGTGAATGGATCTCTGGAACAGCACCTTGAATCTTCCTGAGATCTTAACATAAAATTTTATAGTCACACTCTCAGCTTCATCTTTAGACCTTGCTTCCTGACAGTGCCCTAGATTTTGTTTTTGCCTGGAAGCCATTCTTAATTTTAGCATCATTTGCCTTTTGGAGAAGCAAGGAATTTTCACATACAGCAAGTCCTGGCTTCTTTTTATTTAACAGTGTTTCCTTTCGCTTCTGTATCTCTTCTTACATTTTTACATTTTAAGCAAGAAGCTAAGTGGCACCTTCAAAATTTGTCTTGAAATCTCCTTAGCTAGATCACCCAGTTCATTAGGTTTATTCTCTAATTTACACATTCCTGGGGGTGATTTTCTGACACCACATAACAAAGATCTTCTTTTCTCCACTTTTCAATAAGATTTTTTTATGACTTTAAGCTTTTACCCATAGCTTCCTTGAGGAACTTCTGCAAAGTGTATTCAATACTCTCTAGCTTTTACTAACTCCTCAAAGTCCATTCAACTTCCACAGTCTGATGGCAAAGCCACTTCCACATTTTAGGTTTGTTACAGCATTGCCACATTCAAGATACCAAAATATGTATTCATTATCTATTGATGCATAACAAATTACCCCAAATTTACTGCCTTAAAACAATAAATAAATATTTATCATCTCAGTTTCTGTGAGTCAAGAATTCTGGGATGGTTTGCCTCATGGTTCTGGATGGTCTTTTGTGAAATTGAAATCCAGACGTTGGCTGGGCCCACCATAATCTGAAGGCATGACTGAGGCCGGAGAATCTGTTTCCATGTTCATTCTTCTCACTGTTGGCAGGAGGCCTCAGTTTTTCACTATCTTTTGGCCGGAAGCCTCAGTTTCTTCCCATGTGGGTATCTCCATCGAGTTGCGAGAGTGTCCTTCACAATATGGTAGCTGTTTTTGTCCGGCAGTGATTGATCTGAGATTGAGAGGGAGAGAGAGAGGGAGGTGGAAGGTAAAATGTGTTTTATGATCTACTCTCAGAAGTATGCCATTGCTTCCACTTTATTCATTAGAAGTAAGTCACTAAGTTCAGTTCATACTTCAAGGGAGAGAAATGAGTCTCTGCTTCTTGAAAGGAGAAATATCAAAGAATTTGTGGACACATTTAAAAATCACTGCAGAGATTATAGCACTTTCCTGTTTAGAAACCCTTCAGTGGCTGCCAGTCATATTTAGAATAAAATACATAGCCTTTCATGGCTGGTCCCCGCCCACCTGCTGGATATTGGTTTTCTACTTGCCTTCTTGTCACTGTTCTTTAACTACTTCTAGCCTTACCTCATTCTTTGAACAAGATGGGCTTCCCTTCTCCTTTCCTCTCGCTCTCTCTCTCCTCCCCCTTCTTCACCTCCCTCTCCCTCTCCCTTTCTCTCTCTCTCTCCCTTTCTCTCTCCCGCCTCCAACAATTATTTCTTCTCCCTAGAATGCTTTGTCCCCTGATGTTTGCCAACTTGACTACTTTATATCATTTAGATCTTAGTTTAAATATCACTTCCTCATAGAAGGAGGATCAACTAATCTGAGATAGCTACAAAAATACTTCTATCGTATTATACTATTTTAATATTTTGTATAGTATTTGCATTATTTTTGTTTGTTTGTTTACCTTTTTGATTATCATCTGTCCTCCCTCCCACTTGAATGTAAGCTCCATGAGAGTTTGGGTCTTTTCTTTGATTTACATTGCTTTTTCATCATTGCCTAAAATTTTATTTGGTATATGGTAGATGTGCAACAAATATATTTTATATGATTTTATAAATTATGTATAAATTTATTTTATATATTTTGTTATTCTGATAGACTGTAAACTGAACAAGGGCAGGATTGTGTTAGTCTTGTTCACTGATGCATTCTTAGGACCTGGCACCTAGGAAACATTCAAAATTTGAAAAATAATATAGGTTAGGAAATTTGGAGAGCCAAGGCAGAGCCAAGGCTCAAACCCAGGCCTTCCTGATTCTAAACTATTAGTACCATAACCTGTAAAGTTTCTCAAAGAGCCATTCCTCTTCTCTTAGTTCTGTATTCTGGTATTTGCTAATGCACTTATATAAATCATTTCACAGTTATATTCAGTGGACATGTACTATTTAAGATCCACAGTTTTCATGTAACATTATTTAAATATTTTGATATGTCGGTATAGTTCACGTACTAGTTTTCTAGGACATTTTGAGGATTTATATTTGTTTCAACAAGCTTAACTTGTCACCTTCTATATTTTACTTCAGGGCCTGGAATCAGGTATTAAAACTCTTGGTATGTAATGTACTTTGGGTCTACAACAACACTTAGAGAAGTATAAAACATAGATTACAGTGGTCATTCTAAAATGTCTGGCTAATTCAGTAAGCATGTATGACATGCATACCATTTTGTACAACCTATACACTGCTAGGCAGTGGAATGGAATGTCGTCTCTACTCTCACAGCAGCTCGAGCCACAGTCGAGGAAATTAGATCTCTACTGTGCTGTAAGCACTAAGAAGTGCTTTGGTTTTTTGTGAGGTGTTTGTTTTGTTTTGTTTTGTTTTGCTTTTGAGTGTAATGAGCCTCCCTTTCCTACTTTTCTTCTGTCTTTAAGATTTGTTGGAATACCTGGAGGGCTTCTGGAACTATATGTCCCAGATAACCATCATCAGGTAAACTTGGGATTGTTATTAATAGAAACATTGTCTTGAGGAGGGATGCAGGATGCTTTACTGGTTGTCTCTGGGTTGAAGCATTAAAGCCATCAATTTAGTCTACTAGGCCAAAGACTGTTGCCGTACGCCAGGCTTAATCCAGTATTCTGGGCTTAATTTTCTTGGCCTTTGTGATATAGTTTTAAAAGATATTGAGATAAATTTTAAGCAAATGCTTTTATCTTCTTCTATTTTTAGATCACCACGCTTATTAATCATAAAGATAATACCAAAAAGTCTGATAAAACTCTGCAAGCAATTCAGCGTGTAGGACAAGCCGTCAACTTGGCAGTTGGAAGATTTGTTAAAGTAGGGGAAGCTATAGCCAATGAAAACTGGGACTTGAAAGAAGAAATAACTATTGCCTGTATTGAAGCTAAACAAGCAGGTATGTGATATTGATATTAAGGCTTTTTTATACCAATTTTATTGCTTTGGATACCATGACAGATTATTGTCTTATTTTGAGCAAAAATATGTTCTGTGCTTTAGCCCTGTGATTATAGATTCCTATAGATTCCTATAGATTCCTATAGATTCTGGATTAGCTTCCAGAAATATGGAACTTCTCTTGGCTCAAGTCGTAAATCTGACACACTGAATTCTTTCACTGGGTAGGGAGATGGTCTTCCATTCTTGCCATTAGCCGTTGAAATGCCAGAGATACAGAGGAATGTGGGGCATAGTCTCTGTCCTCAAGGAGCAAATTAGCATGCTCAGGGTTGTAAGTTTGAGCCCCATGTTGGGTGTAGAGATCACTGAAAAATAAAATCTTCAAAAAAAAATTAGCGTATCCCTATACTCTATAGCAGACAAATCATAGTGACTACAAATTTTATGAAGTCCCACAGTTCTCTATAGCTGGTGGCACAGAAGCCTGAGAGAACCTGGGGTATTTTGATGGATACAAGTAGTTCAGGCTTGTTGAAGTATAATTTTTCCATTTTTTCTTTCAATAAATATTTAGTGAGTGCTGGCTATATGCCAGGCTTTCTTTTAGGCCATTGTGAAATAGCTGTGTGTACATCAGTCAAATGTCTACCCTCATGGAGCTTTCATTCTAGTGAGGGAGACCAGAAACAAATGAATAGATATATAATTATTATTCATGAAAAAATAAAGCAGAGTAAGGGTTAGGAGACCAGAGGAGGTATGTTTTACAGAGGACAGCTTTTCTCAACTTTGATACTGTTGACATTTGGGGCCAGATAATTATTTGTTGATAATTCTTTGTTGGTGGTGGGGGCTGTCCTGTGCATTATAAAGTATTTACCAGAATCCCTAGCTTCTACCTATTAGAAGCCAGTAGATTCCCTCTTCTCCCACTGTGACACCAAATCTTGTAACATTCCAGACCTTGTCAAATGTCCTTTTTGGGGTCTAAATGGCCCCCAGTTGAGAACTACTAAGGTAGAGAGTCAGGAAATCCTCTAAGGAAGTAACATTGTTGCAGAGACTGAAAAATGAGGGCCACAGCTACATGAATGAATGAATATCTGAAAGAATGGTATTTCTGGAAAGGAGAAGAGTGAGAATAGGTATGTCCTTCTAGGCAGAGATAGGAACTTTGGACTGTGTTCTAAGTATAATAGGAAGCCTAATGGAAGGTTTCATACAGGGTGGTGGCATAATCTCATATTTTAAAAAGGTCACTGGTGGGGTGCCTGGGTGGCTCAGTCGGTTGAGCATCCGATTTCGGCCCAGGTTGTGATCTCACAGCTCGTGAGTTCAAGCCCTGCGTCAGGCTCTGTGCTGATACCTCAGAGCCTGGAGCCTGTTCCAAATTCTGTGTCTCCCTCTCTCTCTGTCCCTCCGTCTGTCTGTCTCTCTCTCTCTTCTCTCTCTTTCTCTCTCTCAAAAATAAATACACATTTTATTTTTTTAGTGTTTATTTTTGAGAGATAACGCCAAGGTTTGGATAACTCTAAGGTTTGGAGTATGAACAGCTAGGGAAATGGTGGTGCTATTTACTGTGGGAGGAGCAGGTATATTTAGAGGGTCATCTGGGTGAGATAAGGCCAAGTAAATATGGAGGGGCCAACCAGGTCATATATGGTCCTGTGTGTTCTATGAATGACTTCAGGTATTACTCTGTAGATGACAGACTGAGGAAATTTCAGCCAGATGAGAGACATAGTTTGTCTTTCTGGTAGTATGGAGGAAATGAACAAAGAGGGTTGATTGAGAGAGTTCAGACATAGGGAGGGAAATTACTATGGAAGCTTCTACAGTAAACCATGCTAAGCCAAGGCAATGTCTTAGAGATAATAAAGAGCAGGGAGGGCGTGCAAAATATTAAGGTGGTTAAATAGCTAGAACTTTGGTATTAGCTAAAAGAAAGGGAGGATTCTGAGTTGACTCTTGAATTTCTAGCCATTCACTGTGATAGTGAATAAACTTTAAGTGGGGAAGGAGGGATGGCCTCATTGTATTTATAACTTGTATTTTGCCTACATTTTAAAGAGGATTTGAAATAGCTTACAATAAAAGATATATGTTTAATAAACCCGTTATAATAGGAGATGAAAATAAATATTCTGGAAAGTTTGGCCAACGCTGTTACTTTAATTAAGCATGAAATTTATCTTTGAAAATCCTGAAAGGCAAGACAAAAATGTGGAAAAGAAAGGGTTATATAATACTCATTGTTTGTTGAAAGGAAACAGACCAGCTCGTCAAGAGGAGAGCAACTTTTTTCCTGGCACTAAATTATTGTGTGGGCACTTATACAACAGACATTACATAAGGCAGTGGACAATTCAACAGAAAATGTAGAGATGGTCTACATATTACTGTTTTTTTATAGCAACCCTTAATTAGGTTTTTGATAGGTTTTGAATAGAGTTTTTTTAATGAAAGGGCAAGCTGAGTCCTACTCACCTTATGGGCTTTGTAGGATGTCACTGTGCTCCTGTGTATGGTGAGAAAAGAGGACATGGTCCACCGACCCGCACTCCTGTAGACTGTGGCTCTCTGTGAGTAACTCTGAGCCCAGGCGGCTCCATACAGGAATCTTTCAGAAGCCATCTGTTGTCATGGGCTCTGCCTGTTGTCTCTTTTCATTTGGAAGTTGCCTTTCCCCTCTTGAGAACTACCTCTTATGTCACTCTGGTAAGAGAATGAGAATGGCGCCTCCTGGAGTTGTATATATGGAAGCCCTAATTTCTCTTAACATGCACAAATTTAAGACTTAACTTGAATCACTCCTGAAATGTTTCGGGTCCACTCAGCCCATAGTAATCAATTTCTCCTCTGAACAATTTAATATTTATTTGAGGGGAATAATGTAAAGTAGTGATAAAGAACTAGGACTTTGGAGTCAGACTGCCTGGATTTTAGTCCCAGCTTTTCACTTGATACCAGTGTGATATTGAGCAAGCTATTAAACTTTTTTAAACCTCAGTTTTCTCATCAATAAAATAGGGGTGATGTTAGTGTTTACAGAAGTGTTTTGATATAATGCATGTATGCATTTGGCTCATAGAAAGTACTCGATAAGTATTAGTTGTTATACTTATTACTGTTTTTCTTTTTTCTTTCTTCTGTTGAGTTCTTTTTTTTTTTTTTAAGATTTTTTTTTTTTAAAGTAATCTCTACACCCAACATGGGGCTTGAACTTATGACCTGCAGGATTAAGAGTCGCATGCTCCACTGACTGAGCCAGCCAGGGGCCCCTCCTCTGTTGAGTTCTTACACTGTGTTTTTACCTTTTTTTAAAATTGAGGTATAGTTGACATATAAAGTTAAGTTCGTTTTGATGTACAGCATAGTGACTCAATATTTGTACATACAGTTGGCTTTAGACAATGCAGAGATTAGGGGTACTGACCCCCTGTGCAGTTGGAAATTGATGTATAACTTTGACTCCCCAAAAATTTAACTGATAGCTTACTGTTGACCATAAGCCTTACCGATAACATAAACAGTTGGTTAACACATATTTTGCGTGTTATTACTGTATTCTTACAATAAAGGAAGCTAGAGAAAAAAAATATTAAGAAAGTCATAAGGAAGAGAATATACATTTGTAATACTATACTGTTTTTACTGAAAAAAAAATCTGCATGTAAATGGACCCACAGCATTCAAACCCATGTTGTTTAAGGGTCAACTACATTGTGAAATACTCACACAGTAAGTCTAGTTAATATCTGTCATCAGATATAGTTAAAAAAAATTTGTGATGAGAACTTTTAAGATTTAGTGTCTTAAAAATAAGCAATATTTTCAAAAATACGCAATACAGTATTAACTATAGCTGCCACGCTGTGTATCACATCCCATAACTTATTTATTTGGTAACTAGAAGTTTATAATTTTAGACTCCACCCAATTTGTGCCCCTCCTCCAATATTTTTACTTGTCTACTTAGGTTTTATAGTTTATATGGGAGCTCAATAAATATTTGTATTTAACCGACTTTGGATTTTCACATTAAGACACAACAGTAATTACATATACAAGTTAAAAATGGCAACCACGAAGCTAAAAGGACAGCTCTGTGACTTTTTCAGAAAGCTAATTTCTGAACAGTCTACACTTTGAACAGCTTTATAATGTTAAGGAAGAATTTGACCATGTTGGTGGAGCTAACCAAATGTTACCATCCCACGTAGTTAGGAGTTTAATGCCTGGGTTTAGTCAGAAAAAGGAAAAGTTATATAATACCATATGTGCAGGCTCATATGTAGTATCTTTGAGGATTGAGAGCTGTAGGAAAAAGTAACATTTTCCAGAGGTAGAGAGGAAACATTTTTATCCTCTAAATTATTGCAAACTGATACTAATCCTCTTGCCCCTTTTTGTGTACATAAAAGTTTAATTCTAACCTTTCTATTCCTCTGTATATTTTGCTATGTAAACTGTATTAGTAACCTATTGTGTAACAAATTAACCCAAACCTAGCAACTTAAAACCACATTTATTACCTCACATAGTTTCTGAAGGTCAGAAGTCAGAGAGTGGCTTAGCCAGCTGGGTCTGGGTCACTGTCTCTCATGAGGTTGTACTCAAGGTGTCTGTTGGGCCTGTAGCTATCTGAAAGCTTGACTGGACCGCAGGATCTATTGCTTTCCTCTTTTGATTTTTGGCAGGCTTTACTTCTTTGTTGGCTTTGGCCAGAGGCCTCAGTTTCACCTTACCTATGCCTCTTTGTAGGAATGGCTACTTACAACATGGTAGTTGGCTTCCCTCAGACAGAGAGAGTGAGCGAGAGCAACCAAGATGGCTACCTTAGTGTCTTTAAAAACCTAATCTTGGAGGTGACAAACCATCACTTCTACCCTACCAACCCTGGTGTGATGGAGCAGGAGGAAACCACACAAAGATGTAGATTCCAGGAGGTGGGGAACTTTGGGAGCCATCTTGGAGGCTGGCTACCACAGACTTCCTCTTATTAGTAGAGTTTCAGCTGTTGTCATGATATGTAACCAATACATATCTAGTGGCTTATCCTTTGGGTTTTCCTGTGTTGTTTCAGATTCCTGTTGTCTGAAAGTAAATTTATCATACCCCTTTCTGTGACCTTCTTTCTGATTAAAAAAAAAATGATTTAGGTTCACAAACTCGAAGCCTTTTTTTTTTTTTTTTTTTTTTTTTTTTTTTTTTTTCATTTCTCCTTCTTTTCTTATCACTGTTCAGGTACGAATTTTATATTTTCTTTCCTTGGTATCTCTCAAATCATCTTTTTTATATTCCCATGGCTGCCATCCTTGCAAGATCCTTACTACTTCATACCCACCGATGACATAGCTGCCTCATTAGTACCCTGACTTTGAGTCTCTCCTTTCTAGTCCAGGTGCTTTCACCAGACTTATCCTAAATCTTGATTTCATTCTGTCACACCCTATGACCTGTCCGTGAAAGTTCAGGTACTTTTATTCAGTATCATCAACCTATGGGCAGATACTTTATTGGATGTATATAATGATATTGACAAGGGGACTTTTGTGAGAAAATCAATCTATTATGTACTGAGGTTTACTTAGGATGTAAAAAATTATCTTGAACATTGCAAGATGATGGAAAGTTTATTTTTTTAAAATTGTTAGGTTAAACCGTAAAGTTTGGAAGAAATTATAGCCTGGTTTCATTTTTAAGGAGAACATATATTTGTATTGTTTTATTGATGCATAATTGCTATTACAGAAATCAAAGCATTTTGATGGCAACATTTTGATAGTGAAGAAGAGACTTTTTCTAGAAGGTTGGAAGTTTATTTGGTACAATGGGCATGGTATGCTAGGCATCATAAGAAGTATAAATTCAAACAGCAGGTCTCAGGGTCAGCCTGTGGTTTGAGTTCTCAGGATAGATGCTTTCATTGTTTTCCCATGCAGAGCCCAGGTGCCCAACAGATAAACTAGATTGTTATTTCCTTTTGCCAGTGGATCATTTTTCTACGCCCCCTTTTCACTGAAGATGCCTCCCAAGGGGCACAAAGCTTTGTCTTTTTTCCGTGGGTGTTCATAAATCCCTAGCCCCTTCAGGGTATGGAGATGTTCAGTGACCCCTACCCCTTACCCCAGTACACCTCTGTCTCCTCACCCCTGGCCAAAGCCATGGCAGCTGCTTACTGCTCTGCTTTGGGTTCTCCTTTTTTTTAACTTTTATAAAACTTTTTTTTAATGTTTACTTATTTTTGAGAGAGAGAGACAGAGACAGAGTGTGAGCCGGGAAGGGACAGAGAAGGAGACACAGAATCTGAAGCAGGCTCCGGGCTCAGCTGTCAGCACAAAACCCAATGTGGGCTCGAACTCACATACTGTGAGATCGAGCTGAGCTGAAGTCAGACACTCAACTGACTGAGCCACCCAGGCACTCCTTAACTTTTTAATGTTTATTTTTAATGTTTATTCATTTTTGAGAAAGTGAGAGAGAGAGAGAGAGAGAGAGAATATGAATGGGGTAGGGGCAGAGAGAGAGGGAGACACAGAATCCGAAGCAGGCTCCAGGTTCCGAGCTGTCAGCGCAGAGCGCCCCCCTTCTTCTTATTTTGTTTTTTTAATGTTTATTTATTTTTGAGAGAGAAAACACGTGAGCAGGGGAGGGGCAGAGAGAGAGGAGACAAAGAATCCAAAGTAGGCTTTAGGCTCCAAGCTGTCAGCACAGAGCCTGATGCAGGGCTCGAACCCACGAACCAGGAGATCACGACCTGAGCCATGGTCAGATGCTTAACCGACTGAGCTACCCAGGCGCCCCAGAGCAGGAGGCTTTTTAGATCATGTAGTTGGCTATACCACTGGAAATAAAAGTTAATATATTTGTCAAACTTGGTGAAGGCAACAAATTTTTCAAAGTTCTCAAAGTTCATTATTTTGTCATTCAGGAGCCTCATATGATAATCCTTGTGTTCATCGAAGAATAGCTATTTCTTCTTCTTGAAATTAAACTCCAAAGCCAATGTCTAACTGTTGAGCATGATCTCTCTTCAAGAGTAAAGTCTAGATTTTAATTTAAGTGCATCTTATTCCCAATTTAACTTTTCACCCTTGCCTTTCTTGTTAGGAGAAACAATTGCAGCACTTACAGATATAAGCAGCTTGAATCACCCAGAATCTGATGGCCAGATCACAATTTTTGCGGATAAAACAGGCGTTATAAAGGCTGCAAGATTACTTCTTTCTTCAGTGACAAAAGTGTTGTTGCTGGCAGACCGAGTAGTCATTAAGCAGATAATAACATCAAGAAATAAGGTACTTGTCTTTCTTGTGTTTCTATACTTGTGACTTTCAGGGTTGTTCAAAAAGTATCTTTTAGGTTAATTACAGGTAATTTGGCAATGCTTGTCAGTTTTAATGTTTATAACTCCACTTGTCTATAGCTTAAAAGTGGTATTTCTTCTGTACCTATAAGTCCTAAACAATGTGTGTTTTGGGTCTAAACTTTTAGATGCAAATAATATTTCTTCTCAGAAAACCATTATCTACTTGTTTAAGCTTATTCGTTAAAGCTTTTCATGTGTACAGATTCAGGAAGAAAAGCCAAGCACCATGACAACATATGTAGTGGAAACGTAGTTGATAAAAATACCAAATTCCTCAGTATCTTTTTTTTCAGAGTCAGAGGATAATAATTTATGAGCTTAAGAAAAAAAATTCAGTCATCTGAAACCACAATTATCCAAATTTCTACAAAATTTCTACATGCAGTATCCCTAGAGACAATGGATAATCACGAGGCTTACAGAATAAATTTAAACTCTCCCAGCCTAGAACTTTTCCAGTCTCTTCAGCTAATGGTTGTGCTCCTCCATCATCTGGAAGGCTAGGGCATGTACAGTCACTTCTTTCCCTGGATGATTCCCTAGGCAAGGAGGAGGGGAGTCTGCCAGGGAAGAGGTTGTCTTAGTCAAGTTTGAGGACAAAACTACCAGAGGAGTGTTGAGTGAATCAGAGTGTGAGTTTCAAAAGAAAAAGAATTTGGAGAGGTAGACCGGGCAGTGCCAGAGGGACAAGAGAAAACCTTCCTGTCTGTGAAAGGTAAGAGTGTCCACGCAGTGGCGGCCATCGGCCTTATCTGTCCTAGGCGCCTGCACTTCCTGAGCTGCCAGGGCAGATTGACACACCAAACATCCATCACATCCTCAGTTTAAAAAAGTAAACACAGGATATCTGTGTTTTCTTTACCTATCTTGGTCTGGCGAAAGCTAATCCAGTGGTGTTATTTTAGAGAAAGGGATTTGAAAATATGTTTCACATTTACTTACTTTACTTCTAATATCAAGAAAACACCTAACATTGTCTGTTGGCTCTGCTAGAGATTTCTCGCTTCTTTCACCCCAGCTTCACAAAGCCTCTTGGCAACTGATTTATTCGACACAGGCAATTCCTGATTCATCCAAACCGTTTTCCTGCGCTCGAAGTGCCACAATTCCCTTTCCACTCCTCACAGTGCAGTGACCTTCCTTCCACTTCTTCCACTTCTTGGGAAGAATGTGGTTCCTGGGTTCTGGTTCACTGAACCTCGAGGCTTCTGTGTGTCGTCTTTTTCCTCCCTCGCTCCCTAGTTCTCTGAAGATTTGATTACCTCCGTCCTGCACACTTCCACCTTCTCCAGACTTTGCTACATGAATTATCTCCTCTGTCTATTGAGGCATTTCTTGTACTCTTTTTCCTTTTAACTTTCAGAGTAACACCAAGTCTTCCCATCCTAAAGACAAATCATTCACTAGATGATGTTAACTTTTGGGTCTGCTTCACTACTGCTCTGGGCTCTTCCTTTCCTGCCTTCTCCTCCTTAGCTTTCCCCTAGAATTCAGTTTCTCCTTTTCCCTGGGTACTCAGCCTCGACATCTCAGTCTCTTTCACATCTACACATGACAATAAAATATTCTGTTTTGCAGGTTCTTGCAACTATGGAAAGACTGGAGAAAGTGAATAGCTTTCAAGAGTTTGTCCAAATATTCAGTCAATTTGGAAACGAAATGGTGGAGTTTGCACATCTAACTGGTGATAGACAAAATGTATGTATTCACCACATTCAAAAATCTTCAAATGCATGCATACTGTTTAATTTGGATGGAGGTGTGATCTTTGTGATCATTTGGGTTGGTTTCTTTGCTTATTAAACTTGTAACCTTGCTGTTGAAAGCCTTTCATAAAAGAGCCAGGATAAAGTAAATAAATCTGCATGGTGTTTTGTTTTTGTGGGGTTTTTTTGTTTTTTTTTTTTTTGCATACATACAACTATTAAATATGTTCTCACTACACACACTAAGAAAGGTCATACTTGCCTTTACAGCTCAAATCTAATATTCCCTCTTCTATGAAACTACATTTTACCGTCTACCCAGGCTCAGACAAATAAATTGAGTCATCATATATATTCTGATAGTGTTTTGTTGTATATCTTGTTAATTCTTTTTGTAACTTGTTATATATTATTCTGCTCTGGTCTGTTTCTGTAAGTTTTCTACATTAGATCACTAGTAATAACTCAAGCATTGTTTATCTGCATTAGCTATGTATTAGGTACTTAATGTACATGATCTCTTTAATTTTGAAAACATTCCTGCAAGGTAGGTATTGTTATTACTGTTTTACACCTGAGGAAACAGAACCTGAGATGATAATAAACTTTCCCCAGGTCACTCTTCTAGCAGATTCAACTCTGTTATGTCTGATTTTGGAGCCTGTAATTTTCAGCCTACACCATGATATTAGTTCTTGTAGGTCTGTTCCCCAATTTAGACTATAAGCTCATAAGTTTAGGGAGGTGGAAAAGCATGTTGTATTTAGGGTTGACTTTTCTTTGTTGGGGTATTCTTGCATGAGTTCATCTTGTTAGCAGGTTAAATATATAATGACCTCTTCTTGAGATGTTTTGGTATAGTCACATAGGGTATCACGTTGGGCATGTACAATCCTGGTTGTAGCTGAAGTTAGAAGAAGCATATTGGCCTGGAAAGTGGCAGGCTGGATTGTATGCTTAACTTAGTGTTTCTTGGACCATCTGGATTTTCTGGAGACTTCTCTTGTGTCCTGTGGACCAGCCTTCTAACAGATTGAGATGCCATTTTCTTTTATCATTTGTTATCACCATACAATATGTGGTTCATGTATGACTTACAAGTCACAAATGAAAACACTAATATGGCAGGTGAAATTTTTGTGTAATTCAGATTTCAGTGACCATAAGTAAAGTTTTATTGGGACATAGCCATGTTAGTCGAATATTGTCTAGAGGTGGCTTTCATACTATGATGGCAGAATTAAGTAGTTGTTTCAGAGACCATTTGACCCAGAAAACCTAAAAAGTTTATTGTCTGGCCTTTTATTAAAAATGACTGCTGACCTCTGATTTAGATGGTCGTGACCAAAGTATTATGAGAGTATTTGGTTCTAGATTTGATCACAATATTTAGGTACTTTCTGTGATAGCACACATTCTATCAAGGGCTCTATGAAGAGAAACTAAAAGAAAAAAATTCAAAGCACAGTGCCTGCTTCAGACTTTATAATCTACTTGGAAGAAACTCTATGCCCAAGAAACGTCTTAAGAATATTTCAGAGCAGCATATTGGTTAAGTTTAGGACAAATAAAACTCCGTTTGAGATGAATAAATACTTGGAGGGGATTAATCAGACATGGTCTCTGAAAGAGGTAACTTCTAAGTATCTATTTGGAAGGAAATATTAGCCCATAAATACTTGATTAATAAGCAACTGTTAATTGAGTAAAGGATAGGATGGTTGTTTCTGGTCAGGAGAGAGGTGTGTCCACATAGGCATGAGAATGTCTGGCATGCAGGCCGCCAGAGCGTGAGCCGCGAGGCAACACCCCCCTCGGTCTCAGTCCCTGGCTCTGCTGCCCTCAGTAGGGGCAGCTGTTTCTTCCCACACATCGTGTTGATGTATTTAGATCAAAGTGGTGACATTTTATAAAACTTTATCCTGGTTTTTTTTTTCACTTTGTCACCTTTTAAACAATGTTAGTTGGCTGAGTCTTGTTATCGTTGAATAAATGATTTGCCAAGAAATCGGATTGTTTATAGGATCCTAGACTGTTCAATGATTTTATTTCATTTTTAGGATCTGAAAGATGAGAAGAAAAAGGCAAAAATGGCAGCAGCAAGGGCAGTTCTTGAAAAGTGTACAATGATGCTTCTCACAGCCTCAAAGGTAGGAACACTTTTGTTTTACCTGATTAAACGCACCTAACTTACGTATTTTACATTTTTAGAAAGATCAGAGTGATAAATCAGAACATAGGCCACAGCAGTCAAATCTGTTATTCTTTAGCAAGAATGTTAACTTCCTTCCCCAGTTCCAAACAGCAGTTAATCCGTGAGTCAGCTTTGAGTGAGCAGCCGAGCGGAAGATGGTGTATTGGGTGCTGTGACTCGGGCCTGTCACACACTGTCACTGCCTCTGCAGGGTTTGCCAGTCTCATTGGGGAGCCAGCACACGTGCTCTTGAAAAAGCTAGGCGAGTTAGAATCTGTTGAGTAACAGTGGAGTACTAATTCAGCCTTTAATTTGTTTATTCTGTCAATTCATACCTTTAATGCCTTATTCTCCTTTTAACAAAATTGTGAATTGAGCCCTTGTAATTCCAAACAGCAGCTGGCCAGCAAATTGGTACAATTCAAGAACGAACTAGTCAACAGCTCGTTAGCAGTTTATTTAGAACTGCCTTTTCTGCTCAGAATATTCACTCTAGCCTAGGATTAGTGAAGCCACAAAGTCCACTGGAGCCCACTTGGAAGGCCCTGTTCACATCTAGGCCCATGAGGAGTTTACATTCTCATTTTTTAAACGCCAAAGATGCCTCCACAGTCATGCAACATTTGTTCGTTTTTCCTCATTCTTTTTTAGTTTTTGCACATGTAAGACAACATTTTAAAATAGTTTTAATCATGATAAAGATAGTTTTTCCCCCCAAATTTTAAGTAAACTTACTGAAGTATAAAGATACAGTTTTGCACTGTGCCTTTTTCACTTAACCTTTGCTATCGCTTTTTACTCATCCTGCTTCCACTTGTAGTGAGGAGAAGCAGCTGGGTGAGCCAGGGACCCAGGAGATTTTGGTAAAGAACCATTTTTATTAGCATGACGTGTTCTCTGTAAGATTTTGTGTATTATGGTATGGGCCATGTCTTAAAAACTTGCAATTGTTTTGAAGACCTGTCTCAGGCATCCCAACTGCGAATCAGCGCATAAAAACAAAGAAGGAGTATTTGACCGAATGAAAGTGGCATTAGATAAGGTGATTGAAATCGTGACTGACTGCAAACCAGGTGGAGAGACTGACATGTCATCTGTCAGTATTTTTAGTGGAATTAAAGAATTCAAGGTAAGAATCGAGAGAGTGTATTTTCTTTTTTTTTTTTCCTTCCGTGTCAAAGGAACATCGTTAGATATAGTATCCGTATTTTGGCATGCTGTTTTAGAATAGACGCTTCACGAAAGTAGATATTTTTCCTTTCAGACAGTGCCACTCTGTATAAACTTAATGTTCAGTAACATCTGGTGTGGCGTAGTTTGTACAAAGAACACTGGTCTTGGTTATGGTCACTACTCTGGCCCCGTGTGGCTGTCCGGTTCAGTGGGAGACTCCTATCCTCTGTTTAGAAGGGCGTTCGCAGTTTTTTGAGTTAGTGCTGTTCTATCCGTGGATGATGACCGACAGCAAATCATTTCTGCTGGAATCTCTACTCTTCCCCGGGCTCTAGGGTTGATACTTTGAGACTGTACTAATAGTATTAATGTTAATTAAAAAAACAATTGTTTAAGTTTATTTTGAGAGAGAGCGTGTGTGCATGTGTGCAGGTGGGGGAGGGGCAGAGAGAGGGAGAGAGACAGAATCTCAAGCAGGCTCTGATTTGTCAGTGCAGAGCCCGACGCAGGGCTCCAACTCATAAACTGTGAAATCGTGACCTCAGCCAAAATCAAGGGTCTAATGCTTACCAACAGGGCCACCGCCCCATTAATTAAAATTTCTAAATGAACACTAATACATGCTAACATGTATTACTGAGCACTTACTCTGTGCCAGTCCTGTTGGAATGCTTTAAATGTATGTGCCTGTAAAATCCTCATAAGAACTGCAGTTATTATTATCCCCATTATACTGTTGAGGGGACTGGGAAACAGAGATTAAGTAATTTGCCAGCTAGAAGTGCCAGAGTTCGGGTTTGAAACCGGGCAGTGTGACCCAGAGTCCCCGCCATTTTGGGGCAGAACTTCTCAGGGGAAGTCAGAGAGGTGGTGAAGTCGCTCTCTGTGGAAGAGCAGGGGCTGCATCAGGGGGGCCTAGGACATCATCGAGCACAACCCCCTCTCTGACAGGGCCCTCGGAAGTCATCTGATAGGCTAAGAGCTGCAACGAGGATGGAATTCTTTCATCTTTTTAATTGCGTGAAGGTCTAAGTAGGACCATGGGGTGAAAGAAAGGCATGGAAAGAACAGTTATTTTTAGGGGCCATTCTCTTCATTAAATTATCTAATTTAATCTCTAACTTCCCTTTTAGGTGGGTTTTATTATCATCATGTTTTTGAGGAGGAAAGCTAGTAAGTGGCCGAGCCCTTCTTTAAACCAGGACTTGCGAATCCCACAGTCCGTGACCTTTCAGGTTATACCTGTGAGTTTGCTTCCTGTCCTGCCCTCTCTTTCCGAGGGGAAAGAAGCTACACAGATCAGTCATTCTCTTAGAGTTTTTATTGCTCTTTTTATAAAGGCTGAAGGGGCGGGGGTATGGGGGGAGGAGACATCTTGTTAAGGGTTACACGATAATTAGGGAAACAAACAGGGCCAGAGCTAGGTCTTTTGCCTCTTGGTGCCATACTTCGGCTCCGGGTTAACTTGGCAGTGCTGTGCCTGTGGCTGCTGCCAGCTGCTCTGGCTGCCACTTCACCGCCAGGCATTCTGGAGCGACTCCGTCTCACGGCCAGTGGGTATCGTTTTGGCGTCTTACCTTCTTTTCTGATGGAGAGTATCATCTGTAGCAGGAAGCTGCATTACTATGCTCAGTACTGTGAGTGTGGACAAATCTTATGAAACCATGTAAATGAATAGCTTTTGAAAAAACTAAGTTGCTATTTTTCTTAAATTTTTTTAAAGTTTATCTATTTCTGAGAGAGAGAGCATGAACAGGAGTGGGGCAGAGAGAGAGGGAGACACAGAATCTGAAGCAGGCTCCAGGCTCCAAGCTGTTAGCACAGAACCCAACACAGGGCTTGAACCCACCAACCACGAAATCATGACCTGAGCCAAAGTCGGATGCTTAACCAACTGAGCCACCCAGGCAGCCCTAAGTTGCTATTAAAAGCATATATATGTTTTCTCAAAAGGGAGAATCAAAAATCTTAAACATAAATGGTGTGTGGTCAACATGACTGATTTTTATGTTGTAATCCTGTTTACATTCTAAATCTCAGAGGCTTATTGTTAATTCCATATGTCACTTTTATCCATGTTCTTTCCTAGCTTAAAAGAAAAAAATGCTATTTACCTAGGATGGAGTAGTTCTTGGAGACAACCTGGGCCAAGAGGAGAAGGAAAAGCAAGCCCCCTCTTCCCCACCCATGGCATTTCCAAATCTGGGTACTTCCATGGGTCATGTGAAAATGGGTCAGATGTAAGGATTATCTGGAAACTATATTTATGAAAGGACTTTAAAGTGCTAAACAAGTGTAAGCTATCCTTATCAGCACATTCATTGTGACCACAGTCATGGTCATCACCATGGATCACCTCTTGGCCCAAGTTGTTTCTGCGACACATCTCATGGGCCAGAGGTTAAATGCCGCTGGAGTGGCAGAGTGGCAGTAGAAAGCTGAGAGAGAAAGACTGTGCCAGTGAGCATGTGTCAGTCGCATATTTAGGAAACTCTGAGCACAGGATGGCTGAAGTGACAGGTTGTTTGGGAAGTTGGGGGGTGGTGAGACAGACTGTCAGAAACATCTATAAAGTCAAGACCCTAGAGGATTTTGTGTTTTGCAGTAGAAATTTGGGCTTAATTTTAGAGGTGGTGAGATGTCAATTAGAGGGAGTTGGCAATATCAGAAACTTTCCATTTTATAAAGATTATACAGGTAGAGAATGATGGGGAATGTTTTGGTCAGGGAGGTGCTGTTGGGGACATAAGACAAAATGTAGAGATAGATTGGGCGCCTAGGAGAGTTTGGCTGAATTGAGAAAGGAAAAACTGATGCCTTTCCCAGCCCTTGCCATTCCCACACCCTCCACACCCTTTCCCCCTGGGCTCAGCACAAGTTAGTATTTGGATGTAGCGTCTTCCAGGACTTGGCCTCAGCATTTTCTCAGATGCACATTCTATACCTGCAAGCTGATTCGTTTTTCCTACCAGTTGCTACACGATAATGCTTTTTCTGCCTTAGTGTTTACTGGTCTCCTAGGAATGTTGTATTAACAGCCATCGCAGTGAGTCTCTGCGTGGCCGCTGGTGGCTCCTGAGCAACATGTACTGGAGAACAGAGTCATCACTAGAGGTTGTATTTCCCCTGAGCCCTCAGACCGACGAAGAAATGGCTAGTGTCTCTCTGGGCACTGCTAAAAATTACAGCCCATTTGGTTCAGTGGGAATATTGACTCATAGATGTGTATCCTTTTTGTTCTCAGATGAACATTGAAGCTCTTCGGGAGAATCTTTATTTTCAGTCAAAAGAGAATCTTTCTGCGACTTTGGAAGTCATCTTGGAGCGCACAGAGGACTTTACTGATTCTGCCTACACCAGCCATGAGCACAGGGAGCGCATCTTGGAACTGTCCACTCAGGCGAGGCTGGAACTGCGGCAGTTGATTTCTGTGTGGATTCAAAGTGTAAGAACTTCTTTTCGTCCAAGTGAATCTTATACGTTAGCTTTTCCCTAAAGCTCTGAGCACTGTGGAAGCTAACGTAATCACCAGGAGTATGACTGTGGCCTGGAACGGGACAAGGGTATCTCATGTCTTTTCTCCCCACCCCTTGGCCAAAGCGCCCCTCCCATCCAGTGCTCACAGTATTTGACATTTCTGGGCCTGTTGTTTCTCAGTTTCCATGCTGGCCAGCCTGGATTCTGCACCACCATCACTATCACGAGTTCATCCCATAGTCCCCCCGTGTCCACCAAATGCACCTCTGGAAAATTCCTCCCCAAAATGCTTCAGAGTGAAGAGCAGAGGGGTAGACCCCCACCTACAAGTTCTTGGGACCCGAGTCTTACTGCCAGAGCCATTCACACGTGCACAGTTCTTAACTCTGAGGACAGCTGATTTATAGAGACGACAATTTAGAAAACTTATTGAGGTCTAGAAGCAGTGAAGACAAGGGTAGATCCACTAGCAAGTGAAAGATTTTTCACCCTTGCCCCAATTCCTGGTCAAAGATTGGTGAGCAACCATTCGAAGGTTAGACTGCTGGTGTGCATAAAGCCTGGGATGCTATGTGGACTAGAGTGGTAAAGATGGACAGAGTTGGGGGCACGTGGCTGGCTCAGTCAGTAGAGCTTGTGACATTTGGTCTCGTGCTATGAATTTGAGGCCCATACATAGTGTAGAGTTTACCTAGGATTTAAAAAAAAAAAAAAAAGATGGACAGAGTGGGACAACACAGAAAGTGTGTATCCAGACTCTTGTAGAGAGTGGTTACAGAATTGAAAGGTGGAGGCCTGAGACTCAGCTCTGGTTCCACTTGTTCATTTCTTAGACCTAGGGTATGCCAAAAAAAGTGTTTACCATGGTTTATAACATACAGCATAGATGGAACAAATCTGAAAGCCATGAACAAAAGTTTTGGCAGTAAAGATGAAGAAGGATGAGCACAGAGAGTGAAGCAGCAGTTGACTTTCTTGTAAAGATTGGTTTATCAATGCAGAGTAGACATAAATCAAGGTTTTCTCTTACATTCCTTGGCATCATGACAGTGCAAATGCTCCTATTAACCGGGAAATTAACCTAGAGTAGAGTGGTGTCAGGGCTAAAAGCATTATTTTATGGTTAGTTTGAAATACCTCTGTGATATCTAATCTAAAGTATAGATTGCTTCAGTGTTAAATTTTAAACCCAAAAGTCAATATAAAGAGTTTCTTTGAGGAAGTGCTCTCTCTGTTGGGAATCCAAGTCTATCAATACTTAAATTTGCAATTAACACCTTTCCCATATTTCACAAGCACTCCGATCACTGGTTCTGCATGCCAGAACCATTGTTCATCCATTCATTTTTTTCAGCACTTGTTACTGAGTGCCTTTTATATGCCAGGCACTGGAAATCTAAAGATGAATAAGATAAAATCTTTGCCTGCAAGAATTTTGCAATGTAGAAAAATGTGGGAAGGGGTAAGATAAGTACAGAAAGTTTTGTAAGTGCCCAACAGAGGTACAGACCATGTTTTGCATGGAATTGAAGGAGGGCGAATTTATATTTAGGGAGAAGAGTTAAGAAGACCTCTTGGGCTGCCTGGGTGGCTTAGTTGGCTGAGTGTCCAACTTTTGATTTTGGCTCAGGTCATGATCCCTGGGTTGTGGGATGGAGCCCTGCATCGGGCGCTGTGCTGAGCATGGAGCTTGCTTCAAGTTCTCTCTTTCTCCCTCTGTCTCTCTCTCCCCCCTCCCTCTCTGCCCCTCTCCCTCTGCCCCTCTCACGCTCTCTGTCTCTCTCTAAAATAAAATAAATAAATAAGACTTCTTGAAGATAGGTGACATTTAACAATTTATTTATTCAAAGAAATGAGTACCTACTACCTTCCATTTGCTGTGCTAGGTATTGTGTATTCATTGGTGACTAAAATAAATGTAATCCCAGCCTTTCTGGAATTTACCAAGGCCTAGTGGGGGAAGATAGGCTTTAAAGAAAGAAACAAACAAAACAGTTAACTATGTAATTGCAAGCGAGGATGAATACTTAGAAGATTAGAATGGATAAGAAGACGGCCTAATTTAGATTGTGTGAACTGAAAAAGCCTTTCTGAGAAAGAGACATTTATGTAGAGACTTGAAGGTAAATAGGATTTTCAGTTTTAAATCTGTTAAGAGTGAAGAGATGAGCATTCAAGGCAGAAGATAAAATTGATTCATTTTAGACATGATAAATTTATTAAAGAATTAGATTTTAAAAATTAATCTTTTTATAGTCAGAATGGGAAAATGTAGCTAAATAGGTAAAATTTTATTTTCCATTCCAGCCATAAACAGGTGAATTTTTTAAATCTACTTTTTTTATAATTCACAGAATGATATTAAACAGTTATTGTAATTTATAGTTCAAGTAAAATTGGAATGATTAGATAAAAAGATGAAGTAACACTATATATATTTTTTTCTATTATTAGCAAAGCAAGAAAACAAAAAGTATTGCTGAAGAGCTAGAACTCTCTGTATTGAAAATCAGCCACAGTCTCAATGAACTTAAGAAAGAAGTAAGTATAGTTCGAAACCTAGCCTCTTTTAAATCTTCGCTAATTTTCACGTTGTATGGTATGTATGTATGTGATGCATTAGTATTAGTATGTCTATGTGCCCAGAAAATGGGTTTCCATTTGGAAGCCACCATTTAATTAGTGCCATCACTGTCAAAGCTTGTACATGGATGTTCACAGCAGCTTTATTTATAATATCCCCAAACTGGAAACAGTCTAAATTTCTATCAACAGAGGAATCGATAAATGAATTTTGGTATAACTATAACAAATACTATTCAACAAAAAGGAACAGTATCAATACAGGTAATAATATGGGTGAATCACTAAAACATAACATGAAGAGGTCAGACACAAAGAGCGCGTGTGTGTGTGTGTGTGTGTGTGTGTGTGTGTGTGTAATTCCATTTAGAAGAAATTCTAGAAAAGGCAATACTAATTTATAGTGACAGAAACTAGATCAGTGGCTGCCTGGGGCCAGAAGTTGGGGAAGAAATTTTTGGGGTAATGGAAATGCAGTAAATATTGATTACAGTGGTAACCACCACCACAATATAGATATGTTTGTTAAAACTTATCAAACAGCATCCTTGGTATATTTTGCTGCATATAAACTATAACCTTAATAAAATTGATTTTTAAAAACATTCTTCTGGTTGAGATTTCCCTGCTTCCTGAATGAAAACTTGACCATCCTGTGACTTACTTGATCACTCTCAGGTAATTGCAAGTCTCTTTAAGTCAGATGTTTGCCAACTATGACCAGGTTGTCTTTTGTAAATAAAATTTTGGGAGACATAGTCCTGCCTGTGTGCTTACATGTTGTCTACTGTTTTTTCACTACAACAAAGTTAGGTGGTTGCAGTTGAAATTGTGCCTAAAATATTTGCTACCTGACCCTTTACAGAGTGACTTTGCCAGTTCGTGGCTTAGGTCCTGACACACAATCTCAGTTCAAAAATGAGAATGTTTTCTCCAATATATTAATCGCTACTTTGATATTCATTTGATTGTAGGACTTAGCCCCTGTTCCCCAGCCCCACCTAGGGCTTTTGGGAAAGGTGTAGTCTCTGGTCTCTTTTCATTCTCTTCATCCCCCCTTTATCTAGCTTCTGTTCCTGATCTTTGCCAAGTGTGGCTCAGGGCCAGAAGAGAGAAAGTGGGGAGGTGGAAAGTTCTTTGGAACTGGCGCCTTTACAGGATGCTTTGGGCTCTGTTTCAAGCTGACTTTGTCTCTCAGGGATGCTTGAGTGTGTTCTGCAGAGCCCCTCGTGTGAGACCCTCAGCCCTTCACTGAAACTCCCATGTCACGCGGCTCCATCTACTTTGGGGGTTGCCTGGAGGTGGCACTCAGTAGGCACCTGTCCACTCTCCAAACAGAGCTTCCTTATCTCTAATTCCTTTATTCGTTTACACTTTTGCAGAGTCAAGGGTTCAAGGGAATGAAACTGGGTTTTATAAATTACATGTATGATGATTTGTTTCACATCTTACTTGGTACTGACCTCTATTGGAACCTTCATTTTTACATCCTGTTAAACATAGAAGGATGTTGTGGGTTATTTTGGTTTAAAAAAAGCCTATCCATTTTTTTTCCAGCCTATTCAATTTTAGCTAAATTACTGTTAAAACTTGACTATCAGTAAGAGAATAAAATCCTTTGCTGATAGACTGAGTGGCTTTCTACCAGCTTCATTTTCCTTACGTCTGAAATGGGTGTAACAACATCAACCTGGAAGAATTTTCAGAAGGAGGAAGGCAGATGATGTCTGTAGAGCTATTGTCGGTTCGTTGCACAGAGCGGAACTTCCAGTTTGTTTGTCCTCTCTCCCTTATGGTTGGTAATAAGTTATCTCTAGACCCACTTATCAGATTTACGTGATTGTGGGCAAGTCACTTGGTCCCTAAGGACCTGTTTCATAGGCTGTAAAATAAAGGGCTGGCATTAGGTATTCTCTAAGGCCCTGATGGTTAAATAAAATATTTTCAAATTCTTATGTGGCATTTAGTTTCCAAAGGAAAGTACATTTTAATGTCTTTGTTTCTGACTGTAATTATTCTCACTTGGTAGCGTGAATGCAGACTACTCTATTGTTAATTTTGTAAATGTCCTATAGTCTGAAATGACGTTGGATTACTTCCAGGAAAAAAAAAATCAATGGGCTTAGTTCAAAGTCAGATTTTCCTTAGGACAGTGTTAATAAAAATGATCTCTTCCTGGAGAACCCCAGAATAACCCATCACATCATTTTTTTTTTTTAAGACAAAAGGCAGAATGAAAAGATTTTGGAGTTACAGGACCCAAAGATACCTGCTGAGAGTGAGCTATGCTTAAAATCCATTCCAAGTCAAATACAGCCTTGGGGTTTTGGTTACCCTTTGTCTGTCATTTCTCCTGTGACCAAAGAGTTGGGGAGTAAAGTTCTGGATAGAACTACAGAGAAGCTGTAACCCCCTGAGGGAGGGAGTTGTATCCTACTTGTCATGTATGTCCAACCTCTAATACAGTGTCTGCCATGGTCTGAGCATTTAATAAAGTTGTGTTGAATACCTAACTGACTGAATCTCTCATCAATACCTTTTTAAAAGTCTATGACTAACAAACGCTAATCATCATGAAACGCCATTTGATTTTCCTCTTAGTACTCTGAATACCATCCTCTTAATAAGGAACTGTTCTATTCCTAACTAACTTTTTGAGGAGCAGAAGCATTTTTTTAAGTAAGAGAAAAGCTGCGTGAGAAAGAGCTGGTTAATGGCAGGGTGAAATAGGGACCAGCCACTCTGCACGGGCTGAGCAGTCCATCTTCTACACACAGCATCACTGCCAACACTGGGGACTCAAAGATGTCGGTGTCATTCCCACCCTGGTAGAACTTACAAGCTGCCAGTGCTATACAGCTTCTACTATTACCACAAGAAACTTTGCACTTTCCTCTCAGTGGATCAAGTGAGATTGCTTTTTCATTTTTAAATGCTTGTGAGGTGCGTGATTACAGAACCTTCTTGTTTGTTGTCTTTCTTTCATTACCCTTCACCCCCCACATCTGCAGCTTCACAGTACAGCAACTCAGCTGGCAGCAGATCTGTTAAAATACCATGCTGATCATGTGGTTCTAAAAGCATTAAAACTTACTGGAGTAGAAGGAAATTTAGAAGGTTTGGCTGAATATGCCTGTAAACTCTCTGAACAGAAAGAGCAGCTTGTTGAGGTGAGTAATAGGTTCGTTTGTTAGAGTCATTATGGCTTCATGATAGTTGTACTATCATCAGGGAATATTAACAGCTTTTGGTTAACTTTATATGGGCATTTCCTCCATCTTCTTTGCAGTTTTAAAGGTATAATGTTGATCTGTTCAACAATAGTCTGGCCTCTAAAACCAAACAAAGAATGCTGGAACCCACAGATGCACTTATTATTAATCTTGTCTTTATTCTCTCAGAGAGATTAGGCTATGGAGTAGAGTAATGGAGATACGTTGTATGATTTGTTTGCATTTGAATCTGTGGGGTCTCAGCAGAAAGAGATGGCATACTTCAATTAGGATCATGTAAAAGGCTTTAATAAAGGAGCTATTCACAACTGCATAGACAGGGTGTGGGGGGACCATGGCAGTGCAGTAATTGGGGTTAGTGACAGTAGAGCTGGTATCGCTCCCTGGCCCAAATTAACAGGGGGAATGAGTGGTTCCTGGAGGCTGGACGGACACAGAGTCTTCCAGAAAGCTACCTTGAGAGGTTCAATTTCATGACTAGACACAGAAACAGGCCGAGGCAACCTTGCAAAGAAAGAGCGGGAGAATAAAGGCTCTTACTCCTTTCATTCCTGCTGGTCTATTGCTGGGGCTTCCCGTTGGCCAAACATAGCTGTAGACCACATATGTCAGTGTCATGAGTTTAAAGTGTACAACATAATGATTTCATATATGTATACATTACGAAATGATCACCACAGTAAATTTACTTAACATCTATCACCTCAGATAGTTACAGAAAATTCTTCCTTGTGATGGGAACTTCTAAGATCTTAGCAACTTTCAAATATACAAAACAGTACCTTTAACTATAGACTTATATATTATATCCCCAGAACTTATTTATCTTATGGCTGGAGATTTGTACCTTTTGATCACCGTCACTTAATTTTCCCCACCCCAGTGCTGTTATGTTTATAAACCAAATATTATGACTGTAAACAAAGTCGGCATTTATAGGAATCCTGCAGCAATTTTTTTAGTGGAAAAAATGCTTTGTGTCCTAAGTCTCAAGATTTGCAATAATTTTCTCTGATAAAGGTTCTCACTACATCAGCCTTGCCTAATCCAGTGTTATCTCCAGTGAAAGGTGTGTTAATTAATTGACCCTGAGGAGAAGTGTTGTTTCTTGGTAGATAGAACGTATAGCTTGACATAGTGTAGCTGAGGGATCTTGGGCAAGTCACTACTCTAAGTTTCTTCATACATACAATGTGTGGGTACTTACTACGAGATCCTTTCAAAGATTCGTCCTGGTTCTAGTATTCTGTTCCCACTTGCCATTATCAGATAAGAAACAGAGACAAAGAGACAATATGCTCTACCCTTATTGGTTCCTGCTTTATTCCTAGAAAATTTATTGGTAACCAATATAGTGTTATAATAATCTTCACAGTAATGTACAACTTGATTTTTAATAAGATTTAATTTAATAAGGTTTTAATAGGTTTATGTGTAAGGCTTTGTTTTCTTTCCTAATTATACAATGAAAACCTGTATTGTGAAGAATGAGAATGTGGAAGTTGAACTATCGAAATGTTTTCTCGTAGGCCTGTCGATTGTTGCGTCATATATCTGGGACAGAACCTCTTGAAATAACCTGTGTACATGCAGAGGAGACATTTCAGGTGACTGGCCAACAGGTATGATCAATAGCAGATCATTGCTTTATATTATGTCTTGTCTGAGTGTCATAACAAATGTTGTGGAAGGAAGATGTGCATGGTTCTGCATAACTAGAAGCCAAATCTATTGAGAGTAACGAAGGTAATGGAGTTTTCATAGATAGCGTGCCTGAACAGAGATTACATTGCCTTGGGTTAGCTACTTATCTGCAAAACTGGAGATCGGCCCATTTAATTGATGTCCTAGTTTATATTTATTTTCAAGAAGCTGTTTACAATGAAGGTTGTTATGACACATTTGAAAAGTAAGTTACCGGGGCGACTGTGGCTCACTCATTTGGTGGAGAGTGTGGTTCTTGGTCTCAGGGTTGTGGGTTCAAGCCCTGCATCGGGTGTAGAGATTACTTAAAAAAATAAAATCTTTTAGGGGTGACTGGATGGCTCAGTTGGTTAAGCATCCAACTTCGACTCAGGTCATGATATCACAGTCCGTGAGTTCGAGCCCCGCGTCGGGTTCTGTGCTGACAGCTCAGAGCCTGGAGCCTGCTTAGATTCTGTGCCTCCCTTTCTCTCTGCCTCTTCCCCACTCGTACTCTGTCTCTGTCTCGGTCTCTCAAAAATAAATAAACATTAAAAAATAAAATCTTTTAAAGAAGTAATTACTATTATGGACCAAGCCATAAAATTACTTATGTGTTTTGACCTAGGATTCCTAGGACATAAGCAAATTAGAAAAACAAAAACGAAAGCAATGTTACAGCATTACTTACAATAAGAAGTTGGAAGCAAAATAAGTATCTGAAGTCAGGCAAATAATACATTATGACCTTAAAATAATAATTATGACAACTAGAATTAGCAACATTTAAAAGTGTTTTGTTAAAATGTTAGATGATAAAAGCAGGATACAGATTTGTATACTTACTATAATCCTGCTATGAAAACGTACATAGGAATATGTGGAAATGAAAGTTCTTGTGCTTGTTTGGAAGAGTTGGGAATTATTTTTTTTCTGACTTTTCTGAAATACTACTTTGTGTTTATAATTTCCAAGAGGCTTTTAAAAATTGATACCCCATTTAATACTGTCCCTGTCAAGTTAAGGAGAAAAGTGAGGGCTAGAACTTCATTTCTTTTTTAGGTCTAAGTTCTAAAATACAATTTACCAGGAGTTCTTATTTCATTTATCATGGTCAACCAAGGACTTACTCCTAACTCCTGTGTTTGATGGTAGATGTAGAGCCCTTGGATTTATAGCTGAGAACAGTGCAAGTGACTTAGAGACAGTGGTGACGTGTGTCCTCTAGCAGAACCGTGATGAATGGACGTTAGAAGGACAATAAGCTTCCCTGTAGAGAATAGTGTCAAAGGCTTATTATGGAAGCAGGAACTACATGAGTGACCCTTAGCAATGATCATCAGCTGAACATTTTATTATAACCAGAGGATCTCTGTTTATTAGGAAAAACCAAGGCTTTAATATTTGCTTGTCCACTTGAGATTCATCCTGCTCACCTTGGCTATAAATGTATTTCAGTGGAATTGAAAGTTTTGACTCTCCTGCCATGTGCCGTCAGCTCTTGTTACCCTCAAGCCCTGCTTGCTACTTGGCTGTAATTCTCTGCTTACTGTTTTTACTGCAGCAGGAATATCAGGGACCACCGTACTTTCTTCCGCAGGGCAGTGATCGAGCTTGTTGTCAACTTCTATGACTTGAGAAGTCTTTTTCTTCCCACAGCCTCAGCTTTTACTCCTAGTCTTTGCTATCTGTTTCACAAAGGGATCAAGTAAAGAATTAGAGCATGTGTCTGGGATAATTTATATTTATTTCTGGACATCTCTACTTTAGCTATGTCATTTTTATAGTTCTTTTAAAATGTTAGATCCTAGGGGTGTCTGGATGGCTCAGTCAGTTGAGCATCTGACTCTTTAAAATTTTTTTTTAATATTTATTTATTTTTGAGAGAGAAAGAGACAGAGACAGAGCATGGGTTGCGGGGGGAATGCACAGAGAGAGATGGAGACACAGAATCTGAAGCAGGCTCTAAGCTGTCAGCGTAGAGCCTGATGAGGGGCTCGAAC